TCTTATAATAATAATAATAATAATAATAATAATAATAATAATAATAATCATAATAATACATTAGCACTCAGTCCACTTGAAGCTCTTCTATTGTTAGTGCAGTGGTACTCAGCACATTTGAGTCTCTCACTTGTATTGCTAGCACACTACTACTTCTCTCACATGAGATTACTGAATGCCTGCAATCTGGCGCTTTCTCTGTTTTTACACGTACAACATTACACTGCTGGTCTTTACTCACTTTTATTGTTAGATCAGTAGTCCTGCACACGCATATGCCTTTTACATAGGATTCTGTTAATTTATGTACATGTCAAGAATTATGGGGTCTATTCACAAAGCTGACGTAGGCAGCTGAGTAAATAACCGACCCGAAGTGAAGTAAGCCGAGTGCTGAAATCAGCCGTACACCGACTAAAATCAGCCGTGCATCGGCTTGCTGCGGCTGGCTTCGGGTTGGCCATACAAGCTCAGCATGTTCGGCCAACTTGAAGTGCAGAAGGAGATCTGGATCGGCTGAGCCGAACCTCTGGCAGGCTACTCGCTGCTGTTCGGCCTATTCTCATAGATGCCGAACAGCTGTGAGTGAATAGCTATTCTGCCTGGTACCTCTGTGGTACAGAGCAGAATAGAAAAACAGTTAAAAAAGTAGAAAAAATAAAATAGAAAACAATTGGGCGGAGATAGCAGTGACCGCTAGCTCCGCCCAACTGTTTTCTATTGACCGGGCGGTTCTGATGCCGTCAGAATAAAATAAAATAAAAACACCATAGGAATGCATAGATAGATTCCTATTAGCCATTTCACTTTGCAATAGCCAATAGCAAACTAGCTATTGCACCCGCACTCTGCTGGCTGCTGTCAATCACCAGAAGGGGACCTGATGCTGATTGACAGCAGCAGTGGGCGGGTGCAATAGCTAGTTTGCTATTGGCTATTGCAAAGTGAAATAGCCAATAGGAATCTAGCTATGCATTCCTATGCTGGCTTTTTTTTTCTTCTGACTGAGGGCGGCCAGCGGCCCCATATCAGGAAGAAAAAAAACCAGATCGCAAGGAAAGGTTTACTCTGCTCGAGCAGAGTGAACTTTTCTGGGAGAAAGTGTTTCTCTCCTGGGAGGCCGGGAGCCGCTTTAGACTCCCAGAGCATCTGGGAGAGTAATGACAGATAGCGTCCCTGGTTACCAGGTAACCAGGGATGCCATCTGTCATTACACACTGAGAACCCAGAGAAGCCGTTGTGATATCATAGCGGCCCCGCCGGGTTCTCAGTGTGTAATGACAAATGGTGTCCCTGATTACCTGGTAACCAGGGACGCTGATCTCTCTGCAAGGGGCCTGGAGCCAGCCGTGATATGATGGCTGGCTCCGCCCAGCTGTCAGAAGCAGGCTGTCGGCCGGCCATTCGCCCAGCTACGGCTTTCACCTCGGCTCACTGGAGCCGAGGCATATGCCTTCGGCTCCACTGAGCCGCTCGGCCAACTTCGGGAGCTGTACGTGCTATAGCTTTGGGCCGAAGCTAGCCGAAGGATCAGCTGAAGCTATGGTTAGATCCTTCGGCAGCTTAGCGAATAGACCCCTATGTCTATGTCTTTAAGGGCTTGTGCACACAATAGCGCATGCATTGGTATACGTTTTTAAGTTGTGGTGAGCTGCTATGCATTTGTTTATGTGATGCAGTGCCTTTTTGTAATTATGCATTGCAGTGATGATTAATTATGCATTTCGTCTTGTTACAGTTTGTCAAAATGCTCTGCGCAAAAATGCATACTATTATTTCATCTCACACCGACCCATCAACTTGTCAAATTAAATTGTAGGAAATAAGGTAAATTGCCTTGTTCTTGCCTTGAGACTGCAATTCTGCCCAATGTAGCACAATGCTGCTGCTGCTGTGAACAAAATTGAACCTCCTTAAACCATATTCCACACCTTAAATTGAACCTCCATGGAAACCATACTCCACACCACAATACTACAAAAAAAGTTTGGTCTTAGATCTACTTTAAGAAGTAAAATATGGTCAGAATGCCTTTGCATGACATTTGTTGTGTTAGTTTAGCAGCACAATATTTTACCCTACATAGGCTTATCCAGATACATGAAGAAAATATAGTAGACTTTAAAAACAACTTAGTTCCACAGATGGAGAAATTAAATAAATGCACTAAGCTCGTACCTAATATCAGTCTGTGCCTGTAGTAATGCATTTATTACACCCATAATAATATTACTATCTAAAAGCATTTTTGCTAACATTAATTAATTTTAACACAAAAACAAAGTGTATTTAATATTTAATACCATTCCTAAATAAAATCTGTCTTTTTAACGTATATTCCGTCTTCTATTTATGATAAATCTGACAAGATGAGAAGCTGTTAGAGCATTTTATCATCCTGATCACAGCACTTATCCATGCTTGACTGATGCCACCAGATGATGGAAGTGCATATCTGTTAACCAGCAGTTGAAGCATAATAAACAGTATAAACACATACCACGTGACCCTCTATAAAAAGCATATTCTTAATTTACAGCAATGCAACAATGTGTATAATGTGGCAACTCCAGCCAAAGACGTGTAAAACACACATATAGGATCAGGTTTACTAAGCCGTCTATTTGGAAAGTGCTGTATATATTCTTGTGATCCATCAACTCAACATATTTCTTATGTTTCTGCGCTTTGAACTTTCAGTTAGATTGTTGTACCTTAGAATGTAAGCTCCTTGAGAGCAGGGACTGATGAATAGTATGTAAAGTGCTGTGTAAAATTGTCTGTGCTATATAGTTGCCTGTGATACATAATAAATGATAGGTTGCAGGTGCTTCTTTCTGGGTGGGTGGGGGGCACGCTGCTTTTTTCATAAAAAATAGACATTTAGCCCTCCTAGTGTTAAAACAATATTTCAGCATCATTAAACACACTAAGGCTGGGAGAGGAATGAAATACAAATTCACCCAAAGATTCAACGAAAATAAGAAGATACCCTCTACGGTATTTAAAACATTTGACTAACATTCGACTCAACAACATACGGTTAAACGAGACTCGCCCATCGGCTGCCTGCATAATATAAAGAGTGAATATCGGCATAGACTGCTGGACAAATCCTGTTGAATCTCTGGGGTAATCTATTGGGAAAATATTCACTGGGTTATTTTCCCAGTGAATCTTTGAGATTTATACCCCTTAGTGCTGAAGATTGAGTGTAGTTCGGTAGAGCTGGTGTATTTACTTTATCACTTAATTGATTTATTAATATGATCAGGGCCGGACTGGCCATAGGGCAAACCCGGGCACTTGCCTGGTGGGCCGGTCCGCTATGCCTGACTACTACACAGTAGACACTAGAGGGAGCTGGTGGGGGAGGCCAGAAAACACCTCCTCACCCAGCTCTCTCTAGTCTCTACTCCATGCTCTCTCCGGAGCTTGCTGGTGATGTTCCTGTCCCCTGGCCCGGCCGTTATATTTACATATGAATGGGCTGCAGTGATTTGCATATCAATAAGACGCGGCCCATTCATATGTAAATATAGCGGCTAATTCATATGCAAATCAATGTCGACGCCCCACCCTGCTAAGGAAGAAAAAAAGAAAAAACTGCCTGACGACTGCAAAAACAAGGTAAGTTTAAGCATGTGTATGGTGCATACGTTTGTTACATTGGCGGCCATTGTGAACACTTTCGTTAGATTGGCGGTCAGTGCGAATAGTTTCGATACATTGGCAGCAGGCAGGGCTGGACTGGCCATCGGCCATACCGGGCAATTTCCCGTCATCTCCCTTCCCCTGCACCCTTCGGCGGCCAGCAGCTTCGGCATAGGGGCCGGGACGGGCGGAACATTAGTCTGATTGTGTTCGGCCCGTCCCGGCCACTATGCCCAAAGCTACTGGCCGCCGAAGGGTGCGGGGGCAGGGAGATGGTGCCGTCAGATGAGCTGCGGAGGGGATCTTAGGGCAGTGCTGAGGTCCCCACCGCTGTGACCCGTCCTGTCAGCTCTCTCTCTCCTCCCGGCCACTGCAGCTACAGAACGGCCGGGAGGAGAAAGAGAGAGCCGACAGGAGGGATGGCAGCTGCGTACATGACCTACATCTCTGTCGAATGCAGACCATGTAGCTGAATCTGCACCTACACTCCGATCCTTGCGGCCAGCGCTCTTTCAGTGAACGCTGGCCGAAAGGATTGTGAAGAAATCATTGGTAAGGTCTGGTATCGATATCGGTGCTGATTCTGAGTATTTGGGCAAGTACTCGTACTCGCCCAAATGCTCTGATGCCTAGCACGAGTACTTCCGGTATCAGGAAGCCGGGCAGCGTGAGGTAAGGTTACCTTACCTTAGTATGTGCAGACTGTCACACCCGATGCCAATCAGGAAGCCGGGCAGCGTGTAATGACGCGCTGCCCGGCTTCCTGATACCGGAAACACTCGTGCTAGGCTTCCTTTTTTCTTGTTAATTGTTAATCGGGAAGCCGGGTGGCGAGTCATTACACGCTACCTGGCTTCCTGAATGAGACTTCCGTTACTCGGTAATTGGTATCGGCGAGTACCGAAAAAAAATTATCGGTACTCGTGCTCGGTACCAAAATACCGGTATCGGTGCATCCCTAATATATGTATATATAAAGTACAGGGGTTGTATTTTTTGTTACGTGTGGGGGGGAGTAGAAGTGTAATAGGCTGCATTCACACCTTTATTTTAGGTGCAATTAGGGATTTCTGCATCAGGAACTTGCGTTTTTCTGCAACAGAAATCCCTAAATTGGCGTTTACAAATGGCAGCTGTTACCTAAGTTACCGATCAGGTGACAGAAGTTGCATGTAAACGCCTGCACACAGCATGTAAAGATACATGATATGTTTACATTCAGTTAGGAATCCATCACTCTCCCTGGACGCATCGATTGTGCATCCAGGGAGAGTGTTTTCTAACCGCATGTAATCATATCACATTCCATTACATGCGGTGTGCAGGCGTTTACATGGAGCTGCTGACACCTGATCATTAACTTGAATAGGTGACAACTGCCACTTGTAAACACCAGATTAGGGATTTCTGCTGCAGTAAAACACACGTTTCTGATGCAGGAATCCCTAATAGCACCTAAACCTACAGATATGAATAGGATCTTATTGTGTGCATATTGGTGTCTGTAGTACTTAAACTGTATATAGTTACATTTTATTTTAAAATATGAAATGTGGCAGACGGCCCCCATGAGAGAAAAAAATTTGTTGCGTGGCCCCCGAGACAGAAGAGGCGGGGGGCAGAGGAACCATGGGGGTACCACGCGGTGCCTTCTTACAGGGCTTCCACTGGCTGCCTATCTTTCCCTCCTGAGACCCTTTCCCCGAGACTTCAGGCTGGTACCCCGGAGCAGAGCGGCAGCACAAAGTATGTACCTAATTCATATACTATTATTCTGCATTGCGGTATAATGTTTTGCAGGGATTTTTAGTCCTCTATAGCTGATGGTATTCTGCATTAAAGTGTAAGCTCCTCTGTACAGAGACTGATGTGACTTCTCTGTACAGCACTGCGGTATATGTCAGAGCTTTATAAATGTATAATAATAGTGTGTGACTGTGCGGGGGACATTAGAGTGTTAGCTACTTAAGTGCAGAGAATGCCAGGGGGGTTGGGGGGCCAGTGAGATCCGATTCTCTATAGCAATATGTCTGTGAAGGTTCTCATTCATCCAGGTCACATGGTATGCCTGTAAAAAAATAAGTCAAGGCAACTGGACTTGCTATATGTTTCTTGAAGACATTTCACTGGACATCCGACCAGCTTTTTCAATTCAGAAATTTCTGATATGAAAAAGCTGGTCGGATGTCCAGTGAAATGTCTTCAAGTAAAATACAGCAAGTCCAGTTGGCTTGACTTATTTTTTACAGATATTCTCTATAGCAAGCTTCCTACATTGTTGCAAGGTTTGTGTGTCAGCTGTAGCCCTCTGCTACTTACTAGTGCCTGGCCCTGCCCTGCGCTTCTATGTTTGACTCCGCCCCCTGTTGTGAGGGATGGGGCCTGTCGGTGGTCACGTGATTGGGCTGCTCGGTCTAAAATGCCCGGGCCTATTTTTAGTCCCAGTCCGGCCCTGAATATGATGAATGATCGGTTGGCAAATGTGTGGTAAATGTACAGCTTTATGTCTTCATAAATATGTGACAAAGCTGCCTACATCAGCTTAAGGAGCGCACGTGAACATTTAAAGTCTTTTCACTTTCAGCTTGTTGTGGAAACTCACCATAAAGAGAGATTTCATGAAATTTTGCTAGCTCAACGTAGAAAGGAAAACAATACATAAGTGAGCTGTATGATGTTTTTATACATTGTTAAATGGTTTTCCACATCTAAATAGAAAGTGGAGAGCTTCTGCACTTGTCTCCTCCCCCATATGGGCAGTGGTATCCTGCTTGGAAACCCAACAATTCTCTGTTTAACCAGCAGTGACAGGCAGCTTCAAGGCTACCTTAGGTTTCTTTGGTAAATACGCACACTGCAGGAACACACTGACTTCTTAATTGGAGGGTGTTGCCTGGACAAAGTCTAAGCACATTGAAAACTGCAGGATTTTCAAAGGCAATTAAAAAGCACAGAGACTCTGAAAAATGGTAACCTTGTGGCTGTTTGGCTACCTGGATAACATATATGATTATGCAGACCGTCGCCTCAGAGGAAGTCAATAGTGACGAAATGCATTAGGTGGGTGGATCTATGCGAGCAATACAATCATAGAGACAGGGGCTCCAGTGGACACAACCCATGTGCAATTGCCTTATTTTAATTGTAAGTGCATTTAAATCATTTTAAATAAATTTATTCTTACATACTACACTTCGGGAAGCCTTTTTTTCTCTCTCTGAGCACAAGAGAAGGTGGAAGGTGGAGGAATAGTGTTACACGATTTTGGAAAGATAAGCCAGAGTTGGGAGGAATCTACCCCAATTTATTGTCGTATTAAAAACAAAGGAGAGGATTTGGTTCTATATATATCAACAAAGCGCTAACTGTTCATCTGAAATATGGTGAGCAATAGGAGTCGGTGAGTGCGGCCAGATCTTATCTTTGAGCATGGTGGAGACTGGAGAGCACTGATTCACTAATTGTTTATGCATTCACGGACGTGGTGTTGATTATAAAAGTTGGAAGATATATCTTCACATATTTCAAGGACTTTATTGTATCAAGAAGTAATGGACTTCACGTTGGGTTATGTAGTTTAAGAGGGAGTTGTACATTACTTGTGAGATTTAACACAGGATTTTCTATATGTACACATTTTATGAGATGTACTAGCACTTTTTTTTCTATGTTTATAGTTTGTGTGTTTCATTACGTGTGTATGTGTTTTATTAAGTGTATAAATGTTTGAATATGCGTGTTTCCCTATTTTTGGGCAGATGTCCAAGCCACATTTGAATACAATGATCAATATGAACACAAGTACTTGTATAAGGTACAAGAACGTCAGCACTAATACCCTGGAAAAGTTTTAGGGCAGGGAGAGGCCACCATAAGCAACATAGGAGGAAGTTAGGAATAATTAGTCATAAACTATTGGTTGGGAAAGAAAAAGGTACAGGATAAATACTGCATCTGATTAAACATTTTAAAAATCCAAGACAAACCCCATAACTGATTTAAAGATAAGCGCAAACACATTTCTTTTGACAGGAACATTTACAACAAAGCATTTCAACCTATACCACCCTAAACTATTTTCATTTTAATTGAATTAACTTTATAAGCTACAAATTAATTTTATCCTTAGCCAAAATTTATTGTGAAGCACTTTTATGATGAAAATACCATTAACATACTTATTTTAACTGAAACTATAAATTACCTCTTTTTCTATTTGCAACCCTTCTGCTCTAATATTGCGTTCAAAAATTTCCCTCTTCTCTGACTGGGGGCTTGATTTTCTGTATACCAGTATATAGTCAATTCGGCACTTTCCATCATTAAAAAATAACCCATTTGTTTTGTTCTTTTCTGGCACATTTGGAATCTAAAAAAGAAAAGACAAAGAGTGTTGTCAGTGGTATATTGAAGTACTAATATTAAAAACATCACAATCGGTTGTTTTTGTAGTTTTGGATAAATTGGGGAAGCGGTAAAACCCCTGTTAGGTGTTCATCACAGTCTGTGTCTTAGTTACGGAGATCTAACCTCACTATTTGTCCCGGGGACCATTGTCACTAGGAGAGAACCAAAGTGAAAACTCAAAATTTTACGGTTGTTATCGGAACAGAAGTAGATGAGATATCTTCCAATGGGGACACCTGTTCCATTGAAAACTGTCAGAGATGAGATTTGCTCTCAGTGCAGGGGAAGCTCAGACAGACAGCAATAAAAAATTGTCAAAGGTTGCAAACCTTTACCATCTTATCAAAAAAAGTTTTGGCTTGAGTTAAGACCAAGATAAGACCAATTATTCTCACTAATGATATGCACAGAATATCTTCGATGAAGTTAAATAGATGCTAAAATATCTAAAATATCTACTCGTAAAGTGAAATAGATGCTAAAAGTGTTTGATCAATATGATTGTTTTTATGTTGAAGTTTCATCATCCAAAGGTTTTTTAAGGTCTTCATGGAGTAGGAACCTCTGCCAGGTCTTTATCACTGTGTGTGTCTTCCTCACTTCTTGTCTTAGTGACCACTTTTATGTATTATTGACACTTTATAGTCCTGATATTTTTGTATTTTTTTTTATTTCCAAAAGTCATGCCTATATTTTGTACATTTGTCTTGTTTAGCATTTTAAAATAATTTTTATACAAGAAAGTTATTTTTTATCCCTCCTTTCAAAAGCACAGCCAATAGAAAAAAAAGTGTTCCAGCCAAACAGGAAAGGAAAGATGATGTTATTGTATCCAGGCAGGCTTACTTTAAATCAGACTTCTGAAGCAAAAGTCAGTTTTCACAGCTGCTATCTAGGAAGTGCTAGAGATCTGTGACACCGGATGAGAGAGGGCGCAATAAAGAGCTGCTATGCACAGGGACTTTTAGATGGGATAGAAAGAGGAATGGCATGGGTCACTTTAAAAATAGTGGGAAATAGAAAGTGGTTTGTCCAGGAGTTGTATTTTGTGTATGTGGTAGAATTTGTTGCTGTGTAGACTTTACATTTACTTTTCAACTGTATGTTAACTGCAATTAAATAAAGATTGTAGATGATACTAAATTTAATGAGTGAGCCTTCTCACAGTGCTGGTTTTACAATAGTAGCTTGTGAAAAATGAACATGTGACTGCATCTACCAATTCACAAGAGATTCCCACAAATATAGACAGAAGCAGGGATTGCTTTGTCCATATCTGCTGGAAGAGGCAATAAGAGTAGACAGGCAATAAATGATAACTGCTTTCTTCAAAATATGCATGTAGACAATTAGTAGTGGGGATACAAAAACACTTTATACGAATAAATTGTCAATACCAGTAATGCCCATTATTAAGCTGCCAGCAAACTAAATGCCCTGCACCAACATGTTTTTCAGATGATTTCATTACCTAGACATACAAAAAGTTTTAAATGAAAAAATATTTACTTAAAAAAAACACTTCTTCTCTGTGCTTTCTCATGTCCAGACCATGAAGACAGAAGAAGGAGTTGTGTATTGCTTCTAAGATATAGCGATGTAAAACAATTATTGACATACTGTATAAAAAACACACTGTTCATGGCAATTTGTGTCATGACTGTTATATATATAACTTGGAGGGGAAAATCCAGATCAATTACTTGTCTCTCTGATACCCATAGTCAGATCAGCCTTAGACAACTATACAAGGGGAGAGAAACACTTCACACAAAACTACAAAATCCTGCGTTCTATATTCTATTACGTTATAATCCATATTAGATCTGTAACAGACTTTGAAGTTCATATGACTGAATTCTTTAGCTTTCTATAATAGTTTTATATTCAACCCCTGTTAAAAGTCTAAGCTGGCAGATTCCTTAAAAAAACATTGCTTTGTACTATTCCTGGACAATTCACCGAAGTTCAGAGCAATGTAAAAATAATAAGCGCAGGCTAAAGAATCCAGCTAAAAGGCCACAAAATATTATATTTCTGAGATTTGCATTTGATGTGAAAAGGTGTACTTATGGTCACAGAACACATTGACGTACTTTGGTCTGCTTTGATGGGTCATTTCTTACTGTTATGAAAAGATTTTCTTACATAATTTCACCTTTAAGTATCACCTTATATACGGTACATTTTCCAAAATGCTAAATAATATATAAATAAGAATAAACGTTGTGCAATCGCTGTATCTTCCCTAATTTTGAACTGCACAAAGGCTTGCAAAAGAGTGAAATCAACAAAGAATAATGTATAAATAACAAACTCCGAAAAAAAATGCAAACCAAAAAGAAACCTACATTAATATATTCAAGAAATAGGATATAAATGCACCCATGTGTTTGAAACAATTGAATGAAGGGGTGTGATGCCTTCCCTGCACCGTTCTTGGACTTCTGTTGAGTAATTTAACCAAGATTTGGCAGACATATCATTTATAACACAATAATTGGGAATTATCCAAAGTGTTTTGTCGCTTCCATAAACAAGAGCATTTGGCTCAGTTGAGAGTTTCTGTGTATGCTATGAAAAGAAGTGGGGGTAGAAGAAACTGGTGCTGGTTTATCAGGGTTGGACAGTAGTGGTTTGTTTTTTTGTCCCTAGGGGATGGGATATAGATCAGGACAGGTTTTGCCCAAGTGACTATTCTCCCAGACTTTGACCAACCAGTGGAGGCTGCATGCCTCCCAAAGACATGAGAAAACGGCAGGATATGGTAATTGGCATCTCTGGGTAGCTTTGAGGGGTAATTACATGAGAGCATTTTAATCTCAACTTGCTGAGCAATTTAACATATTGATGGCAATCTCCTCATTAGCAAATCATTGAAATGATTGTGTTGTAAATTATATAACTGCCAAGATTTGGTTAACTCAACTGGGAGGTTGCAGGCCTCCCAAATACAGGAGAAAATGGCAGGATGATGTAACTGTCATCTCATGTTTCTGGGAAGTTTTAGGGTTAATTATATATTTATTTAATCTCAAATTGCTGAGCAATTTAACATCGTTTTGGCAATCTCTGCATAAGCAAATCATTGAAGGGATTGGGTTGTAAATCATATCATAACCAAGACCAACTGAGCAAGATCACCTATACCAATACATAATGGGAGCTAATATTTCGCAGCTCTGAGAAATGTTTGAAATTTTGGGATGTGTATGTACCAACCATATGTAAGTCACTGTTTAATGATAGAAATCAGAGTCACATCATTCTCAGTAAGGTGAGCTGCTTCTTACCTCTCCCTCTGCATCAATTCTGCTGACTTCATCAGACATGCTTGTCAAATTACCAGCATGCAGCAAAGAGTCATCATCTTTGGAGGGACTGTTTGCTGCTTCCATGTCATCAAAGAATATATTTATGTCCTTAACCCCTAAAATTGAGTAAACACAATTGATTCTTTAAAAATAAACAACTTCAACTGAAAGTAATTGAATATAAATAAACAACATACATAATTCATCATTATCTGCACTCAAATAGGTTTCCAGGATCACTTTCCTTAAAATTCTCTGTTAAAGAGGACCAAGCATACAATATATTATTTTATGACACAAGCATGCCAAGTATTGCGCAGATAATTATTATCTTTTACAGACATCACTGTAGCCCCTCTAACAATGCCTTCAGGTGCTTTTCTTTCCAGAATAAAGCCACCATCTTTGTTCAGACATTATCAGCTTCTACTTTATGAACTAAAACAATATTTCTAGGTTTCACAGGTATGCACAGAAGCCTTTATATTGTGAGCTGTGTGTATACATGTTCTCTCACACAGATCAGCCCTCTACTTGCTACAAAGACTGAACATTGGGCAGGGAGATTAAAGGGTATCTATGGTCAAAAACTAAACATAAACCTGTATTTGTATATTTCCATAAGTTCTATCCCACTCGTAATAACCATATCCACCTAGAAGTTTGTAAACTTACTTCCTCAATGCACTGAAACAATTACTCTGAATATTTATTTTATTGATTTATTTCAGGTATTTATATAGCGTCGACAATTTATGCAGTGCTTTACATAGTTGCACATTCACATCAGTCCCTGCCCTCAGGAGCTTACAGTCTAAGGTCCCTATTTCACATGCATACATACAAGGGCCAATCTAGACAGAAACCAATTAATATGCAGTTTCTTGTGTCACAACCCTCACAACCCTGAATTACAGCTCAGCGTCTGACAATGTAATGTCATCTTTTCTTGCTGGAAGCAATGCATAATGAGATATGTAGTCTTGAAAAATCGAGATTGCATCACATCAAGCAGCAGGAAAGCAGTGCAAAGCACACTGGGAATCCAAGAAGTTGATGAACGTGATGGGCAGATGGGAAAACAGCGCTTACTACATAAAAAGGATTTTTTCAAGTAAGCTTTGATTGTACAGTATTATCAATTACTGTATTATTATTATTATTACAATGCTGATGTTATAACAGAATAGTATATGCAGGGACTTTACAACTCCTTTAAGAAAATGTTTCCTTCTTACACCTCTCAGCCTAGGCACAGTCACTAAAGCTCAACAACTGTTTTTTAATAATGAAAGGTAGCACTTTTACTAAAAAAAATATACTGTTACTAAATATTGTTTTAGACGCAGCTTTTCATAGATTGGTGAACCTCTGCCCATCTTTACTTCTGAGACACTCTGACTCTCTAAGATGCTCTCTTTATACCCAATCATGCCACTGACCTGTTGCCAAATAACCTAATTAATTCTTCCAGCTCTTCCTTGTTAGTACCACTTACTTTGCCAGGTTTTTGTTGCCATGTCACAACTTTTTTTTAAAGTGTCGCTGCCATCAATTTTAAAATGACCTTATTCTCTATTTTTAATGGTACATTTTCTCAGTTTAAACATCATTTGATATGTTAACTAAATGGAAGTGGGGTTGTGTAAATATATATACAGTATATATTTCTCTATCTCTCTATCTATCTATATATATGTAGATAGATAGATAGATAGATAGATAGATAGATAGATAGATAGATAGATAGATAGATAGATAGATAGATATAGATAGATATATATGGAAGAGAATATTAAATCATATGCAAGGAAAATGAAAAAAACAGGATTTTTGCTCATACATAACTGGATGAGATCACAGTCATTGCAGTAACAGGAAAAGGTATAAATTAGTATACTGTACTTGTATTCCAAAAGGTGGCACTGAAAGTGGAAATGTCACTTAAAACTCTGACCAATCATCTGAAGCCATTATTACATTTTTATTACCCATACTTCTGTAAATTGGAGGAACAGTCTGTACCTGGATAATGAATCTCAGTGTTTCCATTTGATAGCGCACACTTGCCAGAAGAGGAGGCCTCCATCCTTACTGATCTTCGGAGAGGCGGGAGTGAGGAATGTCTGACGACAATGTGATCGTTCGGCACGGACTGACTCTCCACACTTTTCCTTTGATGAATCTGCACTTGGTTTTTAGACCCATGAATGGATATACTTATTCCTAGAAAAGAAAATATATGTGTTGCAGATGAGGTAATAAGATACCGTGGGAGAGATTTATGAAAAACGGTGCAAGATCACTTTGTGCAAAATATGCTAACTATGCTCAAAATTAAAAATTAAAAATAAATCATAAAACTGCTATTGTAAGGATTTAACTGTGTATTTGTCTGCTCTTACAATTTAACAACTTTAATATGCACACAAAATTGATTTATTCTAACTTTAAAGTAATTCTAAACGCAATCACTAAATCTCATGCAAGCTTTAGCATTTTACTATCATTTTTAAAAGTTGTATTCAATCTTTTTAAATGTGCACTTTTTATTAAAATAATATCAGGTGACCATGCCATTAAGATCATTTTTCAGACACTTCCTGTCATGGGGTGACAACTGTTTCCTAATTGTGCTTCTGTGTTGCCAGCCTGTCACACTCATCCTTGGTGGAGACCATGTTGACACATATTGCGGAGGCATAATCTGCTGTTCTCATTATCGGGAAGCCAGCACAAAGCAAAGATATGCAGTCAATACTGGAGGGAGTGCATGTAGACAGCAAGTGGCTGAAAAGGGCAGGAGGAAATGAGCAGCACTGAGATGGAAAAAAAGAATAAAAACAGTGGAACAAAAAATTAAAAAACATTTTAAAAAAAATCTTGGTGGCTTGACACATTTCTTCTAATAACTATAGCAGGGGCGTGGAACCTCAGCACTCCAGCTGTTGTAAAACTCCAAGTCCCATGGGGCTTACAAGACACCGACAGTCGCACACATGACTCACAGAAGCATGATGAGATTTGTGGCTTCACCAGAGCTGGAGTGTCAAGGTTGCCGACCCCGGAACTAAAGCAACATTAAATCTGTAAAAAAGGGTAGTCAAGATTCACCTAGTCACTGGCACAGTAACACCTTGTCCACAAAAAATATTAATCATCCGGTAACACTAATCAGCACATTAAAAGACCCTATGAGCCTATGTGTATCAAAGAGCGTTATACTACTAAAGATCTCCTTAATATTCAATATAGGCTAATGTAATTTACTACTTTCCAGTGTGTTCTCCCAATAATTAACATTTTACCGATTTGAAAATCCTCCCAGCAAAGCTTGTGAAAAACCTAAATCCTAATCAGGTTACCATTTCCTCACTTTCATTTAAGCAATGCCAAACTGACTTGCAAAACCTTTTGTATCTACAACACCTGTATGTATCCTTTACATTGGTTTTATTGGTGTGCTATTGTTCTTGGCCCCTCAGAATTATTTTTTTTACAAAGATCCTAAATGAATACATTTTTAATAATCCAGAGAACTTCTAAATACACTTGATGTAAATCTAGGTTACAACACATCACTCAGGGAGTATATTTTAAATGTAAAGGTCATTGTATTTCCAAGACTTTGTGAGTATTCCAACCATGTATTAATGACACATTTATAGGCATGTTATGTAATATACTGTATATGATATGCTGACATCATATCAAACTCAATCTTATCTAAAACTGCTTTTTTCTCTGAGGTGTATAGATTCCCCAGGCAGTATTTTACTACACAAAGCTACAATTAATGCCAGTATAACAAGAAAAGCTGCAGACAATGAGCTTGGAATTGCAGTCTCCAGCAAGGTTGTGGTTTCCATCATAAGATTTACTGTGCACTGGAGTAGACTATTGCTTATTATGGTCATCCATATATTTACTATGAAGTAATGGTGTACTAGCTAGCATTCTACATTTTTCTTTAGTTTTTCTTTAGTATCTTTAATTTATGTAAAAATTAGCACAGCAAAATGAACTTTGTGTGGGCACAGATGTATCCACAAGAATGATGAGCATACACTCATCTGTCTGGCTCTCTATAGAAACATAGAATAACAGCAACAAAAGACCAAGGGGCCTATCAAGTCTGCCCACCTTTTTTTTATATATGCAAATCTCATGTGATATCTCAAGAGTGTTGCCCTTAGCCTGAGATTAGGGACAATATTGGGCATTTTATAGGCATTATTGAAAAACTTTTAAGTTGTAACCAGGTTAACTTTTATTCCATGGGGTCTATTTACCATATTAATGGTTTGACCCAACTTTTACATAAGATTTACATAATTTGCAATTGAATTCAATTGTTAAATGTAATTCTTGGGTGAAAGTTGTGTGAATCGTTGGTGAAAAGAATAAATGGTTCTCTTGCTTCAAATAAAAGATATGAGTCTGGTCAATATGATAATTCTAACATTAACAGCTGAGTGTTATCAGTATTATAAGGTAAAATTAATGACATGCAAATTTTTAAATCGTATCAAAAGCCAAAATGTATTTTCTTGGTTTTGGATATCATGGGGAAGGGTTAAAACCCATGTCAGGTCTTATTTCCATCCGGGGTGCGTTACACCGATTTCCCCTTACTTCCTGTGTGTGTTTGATGGGGGAAGGGGGGCGGCAACATTTTACCAGGCAAGAAGGGAAAATCTGCAACAGGGACATAGACACAAATATAAGGGCTGCCAAGATTCTAGACTTGTTCAACTTAAAGAAAAACTCTGGTTAAAGGAAAACTTACCCTTGCAGTGGGGCTATACCCACTCTGCAAGAGTTAAGCACTTGTTTTCTCTAGGGGGCTCAAATAAAGCTGTATGACTCACCTGATCCCCTGCCCCATGGGGGTTGGCACTCACAAAAAATGGGCATTACATTCTGTTTCTGTTTCTGTGCATATCCTAAAAATACTTGTTTGATAAACATTTGCACAAATACCATGCAACATAAAATATTGCCACTAGAATTTTTTTATTCTACAGGGCCTCTGCTTTCAGAAAATATATCATTGTTTGGGGGTCTGAAGCTATTTTCTAGGCAAAACATCATATTTTATCATGTGTTTGCAAATATGAAGAAATTGCTACGGATAGCAAGTGGTTAACTTAAAAAAAAATATGTTTACTTTTGTCTGTGATGCCTTTGGAGGGTTTTCTTCACTTCCTCTCTGGTAAAAAGGTTGCTCCTGGGGCTAAAAGTCAGGGGAAGTCTATTTCCCGTCTAAAAGCAGTACAAAATTAAAGGCGTTTTAATCCTTCCCCACCCCAAAAAAAAACTTTAAAAAACCTAAATTGTGATGTTGGTAATATCAGTGAAAATTATACATCTTTACTGTTCCTTTTTTTGTTTTGTTAAAGATGGGTGGGAAAGGGTTAATATCTGATAGTGGCTTTTATTGCTCTCTGTTGGGGAGGCTTCTCACCACTTTCTTACATTACAGAAACTCAGCAGTAATCTCCCTGGAAACATCTCAGTAAGGTCATAAATCTTCCACATAGGATCCAAAACTACAAAAACAATTTTAGAGGAAATACGCTGTAAGGACAAAATTGTTGGCTATATTCAGATCTTGGCTACAAGTCATTTTAAAGAAACTCTCAAATACATCATTTCCTTGATTACATTTAAACTGTTAGTGTTTATCTGTTCTGTCAGATATAAGTGTATGATGCTAATAGATGAGTTCTTTGTTTGCCAAACAATTTGTCTGAATGCATTATAGTCATTACCACAACAATGTAGCAGTTGTTTTTTTTATGTAGTTAATGCATCTACCAAGAACTGAGTATGAAAAAAATAAACATATTAATAATGCAAAAATATTGCTGGGTTTTATTTTTGCTCCTATTTTTAGAAAATCATAATTTAGAAAATCATTATGGTGGTGCTTGCTTTAACAAACCCACATACCATACCTAACAGTCCCCTACTACTGCCAATGTTAGGAACAGATCTATTTGAAGAAAATCAGTCATTGCTGGGCCCTTACCTCTGAGGAATAAATTATTTTTATTATTAAAATATATATTTTCAATATCAGAGCAGAAGTGCCAGGCTGAAAATCAGTCTGTAGGGGTGTACTGTGTCCTGCATAAGCCAAGTGCTAACATAAAAAAAAAAATCATTATAGAACCATCTAGATTATAGGAAATAAAACTAACGGCTTAGATAATTGACAGTTTTACCCTCTACCAGCAGCCTGGACATATAAGCCCTGAGTCAGCCCTTATTGAGCCTTTTCACTTCGACACTGGTTTAACATTTTTGCTCTGACAGGAAGAGAATGCAAGTGAAAAGCAGCATACATGAGTATCCCTCACAGGTAGGGATGCACTGTTATAACAACATAAGAGTGGAGATTCATATTTTTACAATTGTAAATTCCTGGTTCACTTACACCATCAGATTGTGACACATATCTCGCATTAAATCAAAGTCTATGAAAAAATGCTGTTTGGCTGAGCTGGATTTCCTGGTTGATACCCATTGTTCTCAAAGTAATCATTGTCCTGGGTATGCCTATTGAGTACACTACTATACATTTTTAGTTATTAAAGTTTGTTTCATGGTTTAATTATACAGACATATCGGACTGTTGCCTAATATCTATGTTCATCCTTAACTTTCTTTTCTCTAGATGTGTAGATGTGAATAAGCCTTGGGAACCAATTGATAACTAGGTCCGATCATCCCTGTAGTTGCTCTCATTTTGGTGTACTCCTAAAGGGAAACTAGCCTTTTTACCATATTTTCTAGAACCCCATGCAAATGCAACAATCCCATGCAAATGCCACAATCAAGGAATCACAAGGAATGCTTTCAATGGGGAAAATATTGTGATTATAAATGCCTTTGATACAATTACTGCAGATTAATCTAAAAAAGGAAAGCAAATTATTTTTGATTTAGAACATTGCTTTTCTTGGTGTTCTTAAGTTATATTATTTCTCAGTATGATGTATTCTGATTATATACATATAACCTGTAAGGTAGGGTAACGGGAGGAAGCTAGTTTGTGTCCTCCCGTTACCCTAAGGAGAACTATGGGGGAAAACACTGACCCCATAGTTCTCCTTTAATTATATTATTAATTACCTCTATGGAAGTCTGCTGTCATGACATTAACAAGGACTGTTTAACAATAAATTGTATTGTGGCATGAGTATTGAGTTTGTTCACAT